ATTACATAACAAATTTTTTATTTCTAATATCACATATAATATTATAATATAATATTTAGATTGTATGTTTCAATATTAAACATAATATTTTTTTTAGAAAGGGTAAATAGGCTTGAATATGAGATCGGATAATCAGATTGGTATTATATCATTTAACAATTTTATAAAACAATACATTATTGACGTTATAAAAAAACTATTAAAAACTTATTCAAATAGATATATGAAAAGCTGGTATTAAAATTGCTCTTGTCTATATCTATCTATATTTATATCTATATCTATCTATCTATATCTATATCTATATCTATATCTATATCTATCTATATCTATATCTATATATCTTATAAAGCTAGCATTTTTCTAAGCATCACATTGATTTGAAACTCCTTTGTCGTTTCATATTCTCAAAACTTATAAAAGAGGCAAATTTCCAAGCACCATATTGATTTGAAACTCCCATGTTTTTTCATATTCTCCAATGACTTTTCAAATGCATTTTAGTAATGATTATTAATTGCTTATACATCAAACATGTTATATAAGTTGTTATATGTGATTTATGAATATTTGTTTCTCTCTTTAGTTCTTGGTTTCCTAAACATCTCACTTTGAGTGAAATGTTGATTACATTGTATCACACTTGTTATATGTGATTTATGAATATTAGTTTCTCTCTTTAGTTCTTGGTTTCCTAAACATTGTATCACACTTCTCCAATCACTCATGTAAGAAGAATGTTGATTACATTGTGTTTTTAAATAGAAAAGGAAAAATATGATTTGTTGTGTTATGGATTTTAAAAACAAATGATGGTCGGATGTTGTATATTTAATTGTAGTGGATGTCTAATATTAGGATTTGGTTCATAATATTCTTTTTATATGTTAATATCCTTTTGTTTATGTTATATGCAGATTATTTTGCAATGTGGGTGGTTATGTGGTAACTTTATGTTTGTAATTATATTTTAGTTTTCATTTATGGGTGGTTGTAATTGTACTTTATATTTATAATTCTATTTTAGTTTGAATTTTACTTTGCGTTTATGGTGTTTACGGGAAGAAAAATATGAGAATGATCGATACTTTGATTGCTTTGCGTTTTTTTGTTGTATCCACGTTAAACATATATGAACATTTAACATTATGGTTTATGTTATGATAGAGTAAAAAATTATATTTGTTTTATTTAGGTACCTTTATCTTTGTTTTGAAAAAGTCTTGCTACACAAGTTTTATCTTTGTTCCACTTATATAGAAGAAATTCTAAAATGTTTATATTTTTTTAATATTGGAATGCGATTGTACTTTCTATTTTTTCTCTTTGGTGTACGACACAAATGAACACAAGTAAGATTTAAAATAATTAGCATTATTAATAACTTTATTTATAAATAACTTAAAATTCCATCGAGTTGTAGTATATGAAGTATTTTTAACCAAATGCTCAATTTCCTTAATAATTAAACACCAATAGATGTTTATAATTCTCATTTTATTAACAAATATTGTTTTTTCTATGATAAGTAAATAAAAAATTGTTATAACTATTTTCTTAAAACAACATGATAACAATAATAGTTTAAACAACATAAATTAAAAAAAAAGATTATGATACATTGGAAAACGATTAATGTTTGAAATTAATCATAAATGAAATAAAAAAAATGTTTAAATAAATGGTTTTCCAATTACCAATGTCAATAGTTAAAAATTTTATCAAATAAAAAACTACATTTAACTAACTAAATTCACACATAACGTATGAATGGATACCATTGAGATGATATGATACTAAAATACATCTACCTAAATTGATTGACCATAAGTAGATGCTATTATAATGATTTGGTTTATATATATATATATATATATATATATATATATATATATATATATATATATATGTCTTATGATATATTTAAAATAATTATAATATTTTATAACATCTTAGTGCAATATTCATTTGAAACCCCCTATTTTAATTAATACCACTCAAAATTCTTCTTAATAATGACTTAAACACTCAAAAGTTTTATAACATATATATTATGTTTAATATGCATTTAATGAAAATATTATTATAAAAGGTCAATCTTTTATGTAGACAACCATATAAATCACATACAATTGAAAAAGAAAACAAGCTTAAAGATTTTTGTGTTGGTTTGAATTATTTTGACCGTTTTTTACATTATTTTATTATGGTAGAGCTTTTAATTTATATGTTTGTTATATGTTAATTCTTTTTTTATATTTTTTTGGTTATAGTATTCTTTTAATACAATTGTTGTATGTTGTGGTTGAATCGTTAATGTAATTATATTGTATACATGTTATCGATCATATATTATATATGTTGCTTCAAAAAATAATTAATTAAAATTCATGCATATGCTATATTTTCTAGGGGTGTGTATGAGTCAGTTTCGTTCGGTTATAGGCCAAAACCAAATCAAAATCATTGCAATTGTTAATGAATTTTGGTAATTAATGTGAATCGGTTAACATTTTAGTCGGTTAATGGTGTTCAATCATTGATTAATATCGGTTAACGATAATGGTTCAAAATGATATGGAAATAAAAATACATTACTATAAAATGTGAGAAACAAAAAAAAATCATTGCGATAAAAACTACATTACTATAAAATGTGAGCAACAAAAAATCATTGCTATAAAAAGTGAAAAATTAGAAACTAAGTTGCTAAAATTACAAGTGGTAAATTAATGGTGATTAACTAATACCAAATTGTATAACTAAATCTAATTCAAAATTAAGTACTTTATAAATGTGACATGATTACTCTTCAAATTCTCAGTTTCCAATATAATTACATATTATATACCTTATATATATATATATATATATATATATATATATATATATATATTATAGTTTAGTTAATATTGTTAGATTGATTCAGTTCATTTTGTAGTGATTTGGTTTTTGATGAAAACCATAAGGGAATCATATGTATTCGGTTAATCAATATTAGAAATCACACCATCTTTAGTAATGGTTCGATTATAATGGTTCAATTATATTGGTTGATTCGGTTTTGGTGTGGTTTTCGGTTAATATGTTCACCCTCAATATTTTCCATGTAATTCTCTTTTGAAATTCAAATCGTCAATCTTATCATGTTATACTAATCTTGCGCAACGCGCGAGTATACGCCTAGTATACTTATAAAAGAAGCATTTTTCCTTTCACCACATTAATTTGAAACTCCCATGACTTTTCAATTTCTTTCTAATAATGATTATAACTTGGTTAAAATAGTATCTTTACTTTACTTATAAAGTTATGTCTTTAACTTTTAATATATTATACATAATTTATTAGTTTTAATATGTTGTTATATGTAAACCATTATCATTTTAAAGCTACAACTTTTGATCAGTTTGGATAGATACTTAAATTGTTAATTTAAATATAGGGCCAACTTAAATATAAAGTAAATTACACGAATGGTCCCTATGGTTTGGGGTAATTTGCGCGTTTGGTCCCTAACTTATTTTTTTAACTCGGAAGGTCCCTACTATTTGTTTTTCTTACGCGCTTGGTCCTTACTGTTTGTTTTTGTTACGCGTTTGGTCCTGTCTTACCTAAAAAAACTATTATTTAAATAGGAAAAAATGGTGGGGTAGGTAAGGTAAGGTGAGGGGGTGGGGTTGGGGATGTGTTTATTTAAATAAATTAAAAAATCAATGGCAAAATAGTATTTTTAGGTAAGACAGTGACCAATAGTGTAACAAAAACAAACAGCATGGACTTTCCGAGTTAAAAAAATAAGTTAGGGACCAAACGCGTAAATTACCCTAAACCATAGGGACCATTCGTATAATTCACTCTAAATTTTAATTCGACTTAAACAACCTAAAGAATTGTTTGTAAATAGTTAAAAATGATAAATTGTATTGTCTTTCTAATAATGATTATAAGTTGGTTAATAATGTTAAATAAATATCAAACCTAAAGTGTAATCATAAATAAACCAAATTTCAATATTAAAATAATATATCTACTTCTATTTATAAAGTTATGTTTTTAGCTTTTAACATATTATACTTAATTTATTAGATTTAATATGTTGTTGTATGTAAACCATTATCAGTTTAAAGCTACAACTTTTGAAGAGTTTGAACAAAATACTTAAATTGTTAATTTAAAACATTGCATGATCAACTTAAATATAAATTCCAGTGCCACTTAAAAAACTCAAACAATATTTTGTGAATAATTAAAAATGATAAGTTTAAGTGCTAAATGCAAAAACTAAATTGTAATCTCAATTTAACTAAAATATTTCCTAAAGATATTTTTATCAGCATTAAAAGTTTTCAAATAAGTAACTTAAAATAACTTACAATAACAATAGTTAAAAATTACTATATATAAATGATTATATTGTTACCTTTAAATACGAAAAACAATGTTTGATTTTTAAATAATTTCAATTATATAAATTAAAACGTTAAGAAAATAAATTATAAAAAATTAATTAACAATAACAACTATAAATAACATTAAACCATATATTATATTTAATTTTTTTTCACCCATAGGTAAAGGTAATTCAAACGATTGAGATTATGCAGTTTTAATAGATATATACATTATCATATAATTCAAAATAATCAATATATTATATTAACTTAATATACGAATTAGTATATCAAATTCAACAACAACGTTATTGTTATATTTCAGAAAACACATATTTATAAAGATTTCAACTACATAGGTGTTTCTGCGCAACGCGCGGGAATTCGCCTAGTAATGTAATAAATGGTTGAAATGATCTTTAAGAAAACCTAAATTTCCAAAAAAAAAAAAAAAAAAAAAAAAACGCTTTGTATAGGTTCTCAAATAGCAAAAGTTATTATAAAAAGTTAAGATGCTCTAAAAAAACAAAACATTTATTAAAGACCAAAGCAGCAGTTTGTCAAATATCAAGGACTACATCTGCAATTTACAAGGTCTGTTATAATCGTTGTTGTTCGTATGCTGTTCGTTGAAATCCGCAAGAACCCTCTCTCATTCTCTCTCATTCCCAACGATAAGCACAAGGAGACGGCTTTAAATTTTCGATTTTGAACATCTGACACATGAAAACGCAGGAGTTGCGTATAAAATTTGATAATTCGTTGCAGCATTTCAATTTCTGAAGCACAAATGTCCACGACGCATATGAAAACGGATTTCGACAATGTATCAGGTAATGATCGAGTCTCTTTCGCAGACTATGGTTTATATGATGCTAGGGGTTATGAAATGCTTAATTTATGTGATTGATGTTGGTAAACTTTTGAAAATTAAGATGTATTATAAGGCAGAGGAAAATGCGGATGCATATAAAGTTTGATTATTCGTTGCTGTATTTCGGTTTCTGAGGCGCAAAATGTCTACGACGCAGAAGAAAACAGATTGCAACAATGTATCAGGTATGATCGAGTCCTCCATGTTGCTTTTCCAGACTATGAAAACGAGTTTTTGGGTTATGTCATGCTTAATTTTATGTAATTGATGTTGGCAAACCTCATACATTCAAAATATGCTATTTCTAAAGAAGTCGTGTTTTTTTATTGATGTAGAACATAGCATTTTACAGTTCTCACACTCAAATTGATCTCTATGATTATTTGACAGCTTTTTCTTTTTGTGATGTTATTCAAAAGTTACTACTGCTATATGTAGCATTCCTCAATGCCAAATTATACTTATATAACTGAATATGATATGAAGTGCTATGATTAATTGATTATCATCTCAGGATCTTCCCTCTATGACCTCTTATGTTTAGAAAATAGAGAAAAGTGGAGCTGCTTGTTTGGACAAACTCGTTATGACAGTATGTGTGATTTCCTTCTTCAAAACTCAGTCAATTTTTATGCACCATAACTCATGATTTGCATACAACTGTTTCCATCTGCTAAATTGGTATCATAACTTGCTATATCTTTAACAAAATGAACAATCTTTTATGTAATAGGTACAAAACTATATCTCATGCTTATACCTGTTCGTTGTAAATGACATATTAATTACATGTCTTGTGGTTTACAGTAAGTTATATATAATGATGAGATTTTTTATTAATTAACTAGTTGATTGTTCCTGATGCAATTTGATTTTCACTGATTAGGTGCGAAACAAAAGCTGGCAGAATTTATCTCTGAATCGGGTAATATGTGCTGTGCAGATTGTGGAACTCCAGATCCAAAATGGGTGTAAGTCCTAATTTTTATATGCTTGTAATTTGACTTTAAAAATAAACCCTCTCCTCTTTCTTCATAAACTCCATGTTTGGGTGAGCAGATCTGTAAGTTTTGGAGCATTTATATGCATCAAGTGTTCAGGAGCACATAGAAGCCTTGGGGTTCATATATCAAAAGTAAGTCACTGTTTCTTTCTCAACTTACAACATCAATCATATATACCAAGTATTTACAACGAAGTTGAGTCCACACTCGACACACAGGTGTTATCAGTGAATCTAGACGAGTGGACACATGAAGAAGTCAATGACGTAATAAAAAGTGGTGGGAATTCAATGGTGAATTCCAAATATGAAGCTTGCATTCCCGACAACTGTAAAAAACCAAAATCAGATTCTTGTATAGAGGAGCGCCTCGACTTCATCAGGTAATTAATTAATTAATTAATCTTTTACTTTAATTAATTATTCATGATTATTTAATTGCGTATTCAGGAGAAAATATGAGGTGCAACAATTTTTGAACTCGGATAAACAAATATGCGATCGTGCATCTCCATGTCCATCATCATCATCCATGGAGTCTGCTTCCACAAATACCGGTGGTGCTACTGCTACTGCTACAATGGACAAGAAGCACTCAAACAGTGTCCTTATGCCAAGCATCAGCCATGCATTTCGCAACAGCTGGAAAAAGAAAGATAATGAACACAAGCCACCTCCTAAGACAAGCAACTCAATGGTAATTACTAATTTCTTTGTGTTTTTTGTATATATATATATATATATATATATATATATATATATATATGTCTGATATTTTGTGTATAGGCAGGTATGATTGAATTTATTGGATTGATAAAAGTCAACGTGGTCAAAGGCACCAATCTAGCTGTTCGGGATATGATGACTAGTGATCCTTATGTCATCCTCTCACTAGGAAACCAAGTAAGCCTCTGACTTGTTAATTTTGTCATAACACAATTGAAGTCTAAATAAAGATAGTTAGAATTTGTAAAAACAATGCAGTCTGTGAAGACACGGGTTATAAAGAGCAGCCTTAATCCTGTATGGAATGAAAAACTAATGTTATCAATCCCGAGCAACATGCCTCCTTTGAGATTAGTAAGTAAAAAAATTAGGTTTTCATATAAAAAGAAATTCATAAAAGTTTGTGTATTGAGGAAGTTACATGTACATGATGTTGTAGACTGTGTATGATCGGGACACATTGAAGGCGGATGATTTCATGGGTGATGCTGAGATTGATATTCAACCATTGGTGTCAGCTGCAAAAGCATCTGAGAATTCAGATGTTAACGACTCATCAACTCAAGGAAAGTGGGTAGCAAGTTTGGAGAACACGATTGTGAAAGATGGTGTGATCACACTTGCGAAAGGCACTGTGAAGCAAGAGATTGCTCTTAAGCTTCAAAATGTTGAGAAGGGTATATTACAAATCGAGCTCGAATGTGTCCCTCTTACCCCAATAGTATTTTTCGGTGATTTATGTTATATTTAGGTGATGTGTTTTTGTTGTTTTATGTAAGCTGTGCTTTTGAATATTTGTATATTGATGATGATGTTTTTTTGTGTTTTAATATTTTTTTTTATGTAAACCAATTGTGATGGATTTGATGGTTGGTCTTAGCAAAATATGGACGAGAATTGTAATGCATTGTCAAAAATACAATTTAATTTAAATACATTGTTATTCTATGCATTAACTATTTCATAAAGTATTGAAATGACTTTAATATGTAAGTAAGAAAAAAGATTATTCTATTTAAAAGAGGCATATAGTCGACATAAAAGAGGGGAGGATGATCTTAGTGTTTCTTCAATGATGAGAATGTCAAAAGGTGAAGTTCGATTCTTTTTGGGCGAAAAGTGTGAATTTACCCTCATACATACCCTTATTACTTTTTCATTTATTATATTTTTATAAAAGGAGTTGAATATGTGAGGTATAGATTTTTGTAAGCAAATATATATTGTTTAACATATTGTGGAGTATTCTCTTGTAGGATTAAATAGAAGAGCATGTATATTGATTAATTTTATTACAAAATTCATTTATCATTTAGGGCTCTCAAATGCATTTTACCGTATGTTTGTGGTACTCTTGATCTTGGTATTCAGTTATATGCATCCCACTCCGACAAGCTTATATTGTATATTGTTGTGCGATTAGGGGTCCATGCAATGCAACGGAAACTATGAAAATAATTAAATGAAAAAATAACAATGTGATTTTGGATTTATATTATACAATTTTGATTTAAATATCGATTGGAGTCAATTGTATTGTAGATATGGGATTGTGATGACTCTTCAACAACGAGAAGCACTCATATGAATGTAAGAGAGAACAACCTTGTGTGTGTATCACTTCCTCTTTGGATTTCTTCGAGACTTCAAATTCAATTCTCAACCATCTAAAAGAAAATGTCCTATGTTATGGTTGCATATTTCTTATATACTCAATTATTTTGTTGCATAAGCTAAAAAAAGAAGTGAAATGTTTTTACCTGATAAATAATTTTACCTTTCAATATAATACTGACCTATGTATTTATTGTTTAGATGGTTAAAATTCACCATAACAATTAAACTCGTATATCTATGTATGATATATGCTAATTGTACAAAACCCTTCTAAATGATTTTATATATGAATAACACAAATTTGGCTTTCTTGTGTAATTTCCATGGCAGTAAGTTTTTTAGATTGTTTTTTAATAGGATTGAAATTAAATAAATCAAATCACGGAGGCTAAGGTCCCGTTTGATAGTTTCTGTCTGGGAAAGTGCTGTCTGAGAAAGTTTTCTGACTGGGAAAGAAACCATGCTGTTTGATTGTACATCTGATTGACTATGCTGAATGATGAAAAAAAAGTAATAATTCAATAAAAAATAAATTTAAAAAAAGTTATTTAAACAAAATTAATAATCCAAGAAAGAAAGAAAGAGGTCGGGTTTGGTGCATAATTGTCTTTCCAACCAATTCAGCCAGAAAGATATGATTTTGGAGCTTTCTGGGAAAGACATATCTTACCGGGAAAGACCTTTTTTTTGTGCAAATCAAACAGTCTTTCCGGGTCCATTCAGCCAGAAAGATCTGTTTGGACCTGGAAAGATGTGTATCAAACGGGACCTAAAATTGGCAATTCCAAACGGTACCTCACGCCTTGAAAATTTTTATAATTGGTGTTGCAAAGCTCAAACTAATCCTGTATGATGTTACGGAAAATTATATATATGTACAATAATTAAGATATGATTTATAGTAGATTTGCTTTAATTAAAGGTAAGAGGACACTTGTGGTTTGTAAAAATGACTATATAAAAAAACAAAAAGTTTTTGGTCTAGCATTAAGGAGTGACTCTCTCAATTGAGAGGTCATTGAATTCAAATCTCGTAAGAGATATAGGTGATATTTAAGAGTATGTTAGATAGAATTTGCAGTTTAAAAAAAAACTATATAAAAAAAACAAATGAAAACAAATATGTAAACAGAATAGAAAACAAACATATAAAAAAAACTGACGGAAAAATCTTAAAAAACCATGCACAAAAACACATTTTTAAAAAATGTTAAAAAGGTAAATTTATATAAAAGGTAATAACGAATTCATAAAAAAACTAAATTGTACAATAATGAGTAAAAGAAGTTGTGTATAAAGTAATTCTGTAAATAAAAAAAAAACTAAGTTTAATTAAAATTAAAAAAAAAAGTTGTAAAAAAAGTTGAAAAAATTAAATAAGAAAAAGATTGGACAAAATTCGCAACAAAAATTAAATCTTAGGCTAAAGGTGTAAAAATGAAAAGTTGAGGGGCTATATTTGGGTCAAGATCTTGGGCAGGTTGGGTTTATGTTGGGTGGGGTGGATATGAGGCTTCTGATTTGTTTTATCGGCGCATAAAAAAAGAAGTGGTAGGGCTGGAAACCGAACTACTAAGCCGTACATGTGTTTCATCGTATATTTGACACAAAATACCTGTAAAGTGAACCTGAATTGTTACTGTTCATATCTTGATAGTTATCGGTAATCGGTAATAGGTAATATACAGAACCATACAAAATTGTGAAGAAATTAATTTAAAATGGCCAAAAATAACACTTCTTATTTCTTTTTATTATGCGTGAGATGCATAGGGAAAAAGAACATAACGAAAGAAAATTCTATGTATGTCTATTATGGCAAACTTGAAATCTTTTTACTATGTACATAAATTGCGCTCAAATTTTATGTGTATAAAGGAATTATAAGTTGGTATTTTTTTTTTTTTTTTTGTATCTTACATTGGTGGTGGGAAAGAAATCTTTGTGAGTTTATAAATCTTTTCTCTTGATAGAACTTTGAAAGGTTAAAAGACTTTAAGTAGATCAATAGATGGGTAAGGAGCATGTCTAGCCGTAACACCGGTATAGTTTAAAACAAAGTGTATCCAATCAAACATTTTCTTTTTGTGACATTAAATAATCAAGACCAAAGCCAAAATAAGTTTCTATTAAACGTTGAAAACTGGTTATTAAAAATAGGGAAAATGACTCTTGAGGGTAATTAACTTTTGCATTTGTACTCATTTGGTCCCTTTCTTTTTTTTTGTATTCAATATACCATCGAACTTGTTGTTTGCGTTCATCATAACCCTTTTGACCGGCTTTTGACCTGTGATAGCCGGTCAAAGGGTTATGGTGAACACAAACAACAAGTTCGATGGTATATTGAGTACAAAAAAAAGGAAAGGGACCAAATGAAACGAACTCAACAGTTGGTTACCCTCCTGAATCATTTTCCCTTTACTCATTTACAGTAAATTTCACGTCATCTCCTACTGATATTAATGACTTTATGAGATTCATTCTTGCTTCTCTTCAAAGCATAACCCACGAAAGAACATTATTCATACATGCACAACTTTGTAATGCACTTGAATATTTATTATGGGAATCTTGATTAAGCAGACGCATTTCATGACTACATTTACATTTCCAATCAAATGATTTATCGTATCATGGATTCTAGACAAGTCTACAAACGAGTGGAATCACAAGTGTTGTGATTTTTTGAGTTTACTTAGCTTTAAGATCGAATTCATGGGATAAGATACAACATCAATATGTACAATATCATGCTGCTTTTGTAGACACATCACCATAATATACCTTGAGGTAAACGTTTATGCTGATAAATATACCTCTCATACACAGTCATATCCTTTTGCAGAGAGGTGTTGACAGCTAACCACAGTAAACATAGCATAGACCATGTTTTAACGAGTTTACCCTTTGAAACGCTCTTCATATACGTTATAGCCAAAGAAGGTTGCAGTCTTTGATAATTTTGCAACTTTAATTTCATTTAACTTTTCAGGGAAAATGATTCAGGAGGGTAACCAACTGTTGAGTTCGTTCTCATTTGGGCCCTTTCCTTTTTTTTGTACTCAATATACCATCGAACTTGTTGTTTGTGTTCACCATAACCCTTTGACCGGCTATCACAGGTCAAAAGCCGGTCAAAAGGGTTATGGTGAACGCAAACAACAAGTTCGATGGTATATTGAATACAAAAAAAAAGGAAAGGGGCCAAATGAGTACAAACGCAAAAGTTAATTACCTTCAAGAGTCATTTTCCCTTAAAAATAGGTAATACAAAACAAAGTTGCCGACGGCGTTTGATTGGCGTATATGCTTTGCAAAAAAGAGTGGGACGGAGGTGGTGACTGGTTGTGCGGTGGTGGTGGGCTTTAAATCAAGCAACAGTCAAATAAAAACAAAAGCAAAACGTTATGATTTAAGCCGCTTCCGCTTTACATAAATAAATTCTTTGCTAATAAACAAATTAAAACGTTCATGTGCACACCACCCAAGACAGAAGCTCTTTTTTGCAGATTCTTTCTCGCCATTTCCCTTTCTCTTCTCTCCTCTCTCTCTCACACACATCAAAAGGTTGTTTCTTTCTCTCTACTCTCATGGCCATTCCCCCAATTTCACCTGTTCATACATGGACTCCTACTGGGTTCTTCTCAGAACTTTTCAAACTAAGCTAAATTCCATCTAGTGTGCAGTTCTGCTTTGCTGCTTTGTCGGACCAAGTGAAAAGCTTCAAAATTGGAACAAAAAAAAAGGGGAATGGAGGGCATTGTGCGAGTCGTGGTGGTGGTGCTATTCGGGGTTTTAATTAGCGGCATTCGATGTCAGGAAGATACGGATAGAACCTCTGCAGGTGTATACATGGTTACCCTCAAACAAGCTCCTTCTTCTTTTCACAATTCGAGTAGAGCGAAGAAGACGACTCATCCTTTCGGGTTCCCTGCTTCTACTTCTGGAGGAGCAAATACACTCGAAAATCCAAGGTGATAAGATTCATTTACGCGTTTTAGTATTTCTGATTATGAAATTGATATGAGTTTTCTCAATTTAGTTACTAATTTCTCATTTAACTTCAACGTAGTTATAATTCGTTTAGCTTATCCTTTTCATAGAATGTCTATAATCCGTATTTGGTACTTCGGTAGTGATAGATTCGAAACGAAAATGTGCAAAGTTACTCCTAGTTTATTGGTAATTTTTTAACCCGTTAGGCCCTAACGGTTAGGGTTAAAAGTAACCCTAGTTTAGTAAGTATACAAATTTTGTATGCCATATTTTAGGTCGTCTCTTTTTTGTGCTTCCTACTTTACCACCATTAATGATGACAAAATAGTTATGCGGTGATAGTGAATTAGTGATCATGTCAAATTGTGAATTGATGAAAGTATGCAACTTTGACTGTGGGGATCAAAGTGATTTGCTTTTCAACTTTAATATTGATGTTGAATGTTGATGATAAACTTTTCTATATATTTGATTTAATTTCTTGAAATGTAATATCATAGTCAATAGTAACCCAAATTAATTTCTTTTGCTTCCTAATTTAGTTTCAGAAACATCACAACCAAACACCATCGTTATGGTTCCCGAATTGCAAGAGTTCATGATTCATTATTGAGGCGAGTTCTAAAAGGAGAAAAATATCTCAAATTATACAGCTATCACTACTTAATAAACGGATTCGCTGTTCTTGTTACTCCACAACAGGTATAAATATAACTATAATAAACAGTCTTTATGAAATCAAATCACAACATAAACATTAATTATTTTATCAATGACCCATTAAAGGCACAAAAGTTATCGGGTCGAAAAGAAGTGGCAAATGTGATACCCGATTACTCTGTTAGAACTGCAACTACACATACACCACAGTTCCTAGGGTTACCTCAAGGGGCATGGTTACAAGAAGGTGGATATGAGACAGCTGGCGAAGGGGTTGTAATTGGGTTAATTGACACGGGTATTGACCCGACCCATGTGAGTTTTGCTGATGGGTTATCTGAAAATAACTATCCGGTTCCCGACCATTTCACGGGTGTTTGTGAGGTGACACGGGATTTCCCATCCGGGTCATGCAACCGGAAGCTTGTTGGGGCCCGCCATTTTGCAGCTTCTGCTATCACAAGAGGAATCTTTAATGCATCTCAAGATTATGCTTCACCATTTGATGGAGATGGACATGGGACGTGAGTATTTTTTGTATTTTATATTTTTAATCTATTAAAATTTTACAACAATATAAAATACTAAAAATAATCACAGGCACACAGCTTCTATTGCTGCGGGAAACCATGGGATCCCAGTTGTTGTAGCCGGGCATCATTTCGGGAATGCCAGTGGAATGGCCCCTCGTTCACAGTAAGTAAAACAAACCAAATTCTTTATTTTCTGCTAGAAATTTCAAGAAATGTCATCAGTTATTATTATTATCCATTTACACTTTTTTTCAATTAACTTTCTATGTTTTTCAGCATTGCTGTTTACAAAGCATTGTACAAAAGCTTCGGTGGCTTTGCTGCTGATGTTGTTGCTGCCATTGATCAGGTAAAACATTAAATTAGCCTTTTTACGATGTAATTTAATAGTTGATATTTGATATTTTTTATTTTTTTTATAGGCAGGTCAAGATGGAGTGGATGTTATAAGTTTATCAATAACACCTAACAGACGTCCACCTGGAATTGCTACTTTTTTTAATCCAATAGACATGGCGTTGCTATCAGCATATAAAAAGGGTATTTTTGTGGTACAAGCTGCGGGTAACACTGGGCCTTCACCCAAGAGTGTTTCTTCCTTTAGTCCATGGATCTTTACAGTGGGTGCAGCTGCACATGATCGCAAGTATAGCAATTCCATTCTTCTTGGGAATAACATCACCATTCAAGGAGTCGGACTTGCACGTATGTTTGTTTAATAATTTTATTTCTTGTATTTTAGTTTTGTTAATCAAGTTGTAACATCTCTCCTCTTTGTGCAGCTGGAACAAGATGAAGATTACACTTTAGTTTCTGCAACAGACGCACTGAATGATTCAGAAACACCAACAGATGAATATGTAAACGAATGCCAAGATTCCAGCAGCTTGAATCAGACAATTATCCAAGGAAACCTCTTAATCTGTAGCTACTCTATCAAATTCGTTCTTGGACAATCTACCATAAACAATGCTGTTCAAACAGCTAGAAATCTGAGTGCAGCTGGAGTTGTATTCTCCATGGATCCTTTCATCATTGGATTTCAACTCAATCCTGTTCCAATGAGTCTCCCTGGAATCATAATTCCATCCTCCAATGATTCCAAGGTCACCATTTCACCACTTTTAATACACATATAAACATTCTTGTTTATTTATTTATTTATTTATTTATTTTTTACAGATCTTACTTCAGTACTACAATTCTTCGTTAGAGAGAGATCCAGTTTCAAGAAAGATAGTAAAATTTGGAGGTGTTGCATGCATTGTAGGTGGAGTTGAAGCAAATTTCAGTAACAGTGCTCCAAAAATAATGTATTATTCTGCTAGAGGACCAGATCCAGAAGATAATTTCCTTCAAGATGCCGATATTTTAAAACCAAATCTTGTTGCTCCTGGAAATTCCATTTGGGCTGCTTGGAGTTCCGGTGGCACTGATTCTGTCGAATTCCTCGGTAATAGTTATTTTATCTGTAATCAGGACAGAACAGAACAGGTTGTACTGTGTTTGGTTGACCGATACTGGTACCGGTACTGATGTAACTGGGACAAAAGCTGCAATCTTTTGTCCTATCTGAGGAAAAGACGTGAATACCCTCCTCATACTGAGTGATGTTGATTCGATGTTTTTAAGGTGAGGATTTTGCGATGATGTCGGGAACGAGTATGGCGGCTCCTCATATAGCGGGGCTGGCTGCATTAATTAAACAAAAGTTTCCCGATTTTACCCCTTCAGCAATCGGGTCCGCGTTATCAACTACTGCTTCTCTACGGGATAAAGATGGTGGGCCCATAATGGCACAACGTGCGTATGCTAACCCCGATTTAAACCAATCTCCTGCAACACCCTTTGATATGGGAAGTGGTTTTGTAAATGCAACCGCAGCATTAGATCCTGGACTCATTCTTGATTTAGGTATCATCATCATCATCATCATCTTTTCCTAAATTGAATTAATTATTTAATTGCACTTTTTACAGGGTATGAAGACTACATGTCATTCCTATGTGGCATAAACGGGTCAGAAGCCGTGGTGCTAAACTACACGGGGACCACATGTGGGCCCAAGACAACGGGGTTGACCGGTGTTGACCTGAACTTACCTTCCATCACACTTGCAGCACTGAACCTGTCTCGAGTGGTTCAAAGAACCGTGACTAATGTTGGCGGGATGAACGAGTCTTATAGTGTCGGTTGGAATGCTCCTTATGGGGTTTCCATGAAGGTCACCCCGGCTCATTTTAGCATTGGTACTGGTGAAAAACAGGTGTTGACAGTGTTGTTGAATTCAACCATGAATAGCAGTGTTGCGAGTTTTGGAAGAATCGGGCTTTTTGGTGATAGGAGTCATGTCGTGAATATTCATTTGTCTGTGGTGGTTAAAATCGCGTATAATGTGAGTAGTAATTGAGGGTGTATGATTTTAGTATGTTTTTTATTGTTATTATTTGGTTTTTTGTTTGATTTATTTAACCCAATTCGTGTCCAGTTTTTGGTGTGTAACTGTGTATATCATGTAGGGTCTTGTTATGAATGAGGCTAATTGCATTTGTTTGATTTTGATTACAATAGTTAACTTGATTTTGGTTTATTTCGGAGTTTAATTGTTTATACTTTATTAGTAATTCAAACCAAAAATATATGAATTTTGATTTTATAAAGTTTGATTCTATATAAAAGTTATAAGGGGGGTTTCTTCGTAAAATTCAAGACAGTAATTAATATTTAATTTTAAATTTGAAAGTTAAATTTTATTGATTGAATTATTGTATGATACAACTTGAAAAAAACTGAAAAAATCGATGATTTTTGTTTGTTTGTTTTACTATAACAGATGAGGACAATAGATAGTGTTGAGGAGTCACGAGAATCAAAACCTAATGATAACGGCAACAATTTAGTCATATGACTCTGAAGTCACTTTCCACTAGAGCCACGCATGACACGCATGTAGATTTTAAGATATTTTAAATATGATTTTCATAAAAAAAAAAAATTAATATGTAGATACTAAAATTATTAATTATAAAGCAATGTTAAAAAAAAGTTTTAAAAAAAAAAAAAACTATTTTTTGAATAGGCTAAATTACACGGATGGTCCTTATGGTTTGGGGTAGTCTGCATGGTTAGTCCCTTAAAAGAATTTTTAACTCGGATAGTCCCTATTATACATTTTTGTTGTGTGTTTGGTCCCTGACATACCTAAAAAAAACTATTTTACCCCCAACTATTTCTTTTTTAATTAATTTGTTATTTATTTTTTAACTTATTGATTATTTAAACAATAAAATTAATAATAGTTAATTAAAGTACAACCACTTAAAGAAAATGTATAACCACGTTATTACAATCATGATCTCGTCCCCTTCCCCCTTCTGTCATATCTGACTAACAGCTGAGCGACCGATCTCCTTCTTCTTTACCGACAAGCTAAAGAAAAAAATCAAACAAGAAAAATTAAAAAATCAAACCTCTCAATTATGCCTAGTGAGCAATCAAAGCTCATCGCCTCCTCATTCAAACCCAATGAAGCTCTTCCGATTCCTGATTTGTGCTTAATCCTTTTCCAATTTCTAATTCCCACACACAAAACCCAATTTTACAACCCTATAATACCAAATTTAAAGACATGACGGAATTAATATAATTAGGATAGAATTGTACCTGAATGATGTGTCGGGATGGATTGACGATGGATTGTTTGGGTATGATTATATGATAATATAAATATGTTTGGATAGGGCTCTGCTATTCAGAAATAGAAAACTATTTCAACAGAAGAAGATTGAGATCAACTCAAGTCTTAAAACACTCAAACTTAGCTTGTTTATTCCATATGGGCAAAGACCCTATTTATAGGCTCAAAGGAGCCGAGTACATAATTGAATTGCAATCGTTTGATTGCAATATGACAAACCTATTTACATTATAGCCCCCTAGACTATTGAGGGACTTACACACTTTATGTTACATCAAATAATATAATACACACTTAATAATTATTCTATCTAAACTTCCTACCGACACATAAATAACAATATTCTATTTAAACTTCCTACCGACACATAAATAACAAATCTTTTCCATATTGAAAGGTCACATGTCTTCAATAATGTGTCTTTAATAATAATGGATTTTTATATCATTGCTTACGTCATTCCTCCCGCCTCCGAAAAGACATATTTTTGAATAATGTTTGCTTGTGTCATGGCTGACGTTAATCTTCCATGAATGGTGTCTCTTTCATAATCGAGTAGGAATGTTTTTAGTTGTTTCTCTATGATGGCTTCCATTCTCTTGTCAATGTGTCTGTTATATGATTGTTGGCGCTTTTGATATACTTGAGATATGGATGAAATTGATGTGATTGTAATTGCCACCGGATCAATCGTCCTCGACAGTAATCTTCTTGTAACTTATACCGCCAAAAGCCAAGTAGATACTTGGAATCTGTGCGTAATTCAAATCTGGTTTGTAGAAGCTCGACCTTCCATTTCTTCAATGTTCTTAAACAAGCTAGTGTTTCTCGTTCATGTGTGCTATAATTTTGCTCCGTTTGGGAAAATGTTCCCGATATATACTTGCATAATTTTTGCTCATATTTATCTGTTTTTAATACTTCAGATGATACATTTGTATCAATGTATGCTTTTGGTGATATTTTCATATCACTGTATACTTTATCATTGTTTACTTCGGAGATGGTATTTTCATACCAGTGTATGCTTTATCATTGTATACTTTTGATGAGTTAGATATGAGGTTTCCCTCACTATCTAGACCCAATAATACATTTCCACGTATAATTGCTTTTAGGCATCCTGCCCAAGTGTCTTGTGATGCATCTGTTTCTACAATTAGGAAATCGTCGATTTTTGCATTATATAAAGTAGGGAGAACTTGAATTTTTTGTTTTATATTTTGTACCAAAATAGTATCTGTATTGGTCCAAGACCAAGGTTTTTTTCCTGATATTTTCTTTTGTAAAACTTTTCTTTCTTTTGCTAAATTTTTCAAAAATCCTTGTTCTGCAATATAATTTAAACAACCAAGAAATCGTTGTATTCGTTTTCTATTTTCAAGTTTATCAGGAAACATATTTAATTTTTCTCGTATATTGTCTGTTAACGATAATTGACCATTTTCTCCAATTTTTAAACCGAGATATTCAACTGTAGATTGAAAAAGTTTTGATTTCTTTTTTGATAAAACTAAACCCTTTTCTTTAATTCTTTGTAAAACCTTGATGACTGCATCAATGTGTGTTTGTTCATTTTCTTTTGTAAAAACAATTATATCATCGATATATGCAAGACAAATATGATCTAAACCATTTAGAGTTTCATCCATGAATCGCTGATATATTGTTGGTGCCTGTTTTAAGCCGAATGGAAGGACATTCCATTCATAATGTTTCTGAAGAGGACATGAAAAAGCGGTTAGTGGTTTCGTATTTTCATGTAAGCGTAATTGCCAATATCCGGATTTTGCATCAAATGTACTAAAATGTGTATTTCCTTTTATTTTTTCTAAAATATATTCTTTCGTGGTAATTTCTATGAATCTCCTATAGTAGCATCATTCATCTTTTTATAATTAATTACCATTCTTCGTTTGCCTCGTTTTATGTCATTATTATTTTCTACATAGAATGCAGGTGCATAATGAGGACTCGTGCTAGGTCGAATGATTCCTTTTTCTAATAGTTCAGTGCATTCCTGTTTGAATTCAGAAACATCTTTTATACTATATGAAATTTTATTTGGAACATTAACTTCATCATTAGGGTTTTTTAATAATATTATTATTTCTTGATTATTTTTGTTTTTTAAATGATCTAGCGGGTTTTCGCTACATACTTCTTCGAGTTGTTTTTCAGCAATTTCTTTAGCAAATGTTAGTAATATGCGTAGTTGAAAACCAACTTCTTGTTTGATTATTTTAATAAGATCATAATGTTTGATAATTTCAGTTTTTATAATACCTTTTGTCGGATGATTGAGACTTATATGATCATTTGTTTGTATAAATGGTTGATATAATTTAAGGAAATTATTTCCTATTTACTAAATCTATTCATGAATCATGTTGATATATAGTTGGAGTTTTAAATGGTGCTTTTTCAATTACTATATCTATATCTCTTCCTACGAACCATATTTTGTGAATTGATTTATCAGCAATTGTAAATTTTAATGGTTTTTCTAATTTTTCCCAAATTTTTAATATCTTTCTTCTTCCAAAACATAAAGTAGCTCCTGTATCTATATACGAAACTAGTTCTTTATCTTGTATTTTGGTTGTAATAAAGGTACTGTTTGGGTTAATATTTGTTTTTCTTTTACTCATTGGGGTTAGTTTATAAATTTCTACTAATTTAATGTTTTTTCTTGCGAAGTTTTTATATTAACAAGTTGTGTTTGTTAGTATAGTTGAAACATTATGTATTGTTTCTAAATTACGGTTTTGTGATTTTTTATATTTCTTAAATTCCTTCTTTTAATCGAGATATCTTTTTTAGTTGTTTATTATGTTCTTCCTTCTTTGATTGTAATTTTAACAAATAGTTTTCTTCATATAATAAAGCATTTTCTAAATGTTGAATGGTATTAGAGATATTAGAGTTTATTTTCCAATGGTTTTTTTAATATATTAGTCCAAAGCATGTTATCTTTTGAAGAATTAATTTGTACTTTCGAATTCATTTTAACAAATTATTAAAGCGTCTGAAAGAAAATTAATTGAATTGTTAATATTTTTTATTACTATTTTTAAATGATTAATTTCAATTTTTAATCTTCCAATTTTAACTAATTGATATGCAGTATAATTTTTGTTTTTAAAAATTAGTTCGTGTACTTCAGATTCTTTTTCTTTTAAATGTTTTGTGGATTTTTCTAAATCTTTCCATAATTTTTTAAATAGATCAACTTTGTATTTATTATCGTAAATACAATATACTTGGGTTTTATTACTCATAATTTTTATTTTACCATGTTAAGGGTCGTTTGATAGTAAGTGGTTTTTCTTTAAGTAGTGGTTTTTCATTAAGTGATTCTTCTTTAATAGTTTTTATTTTTAAATATTTTTCAAGTAATATCTTATGTTGAGTTAAACTTTGTAATAGTTTAGGAATTTGTTTTAATACAATTAAACTTTCTACTTCTATAATATTATTTAATTTTTGACTAATTATATTTAATTTATCTCCTACTGATTTATCTTCTTCAGAACTAAGACCAATATTATATATTGTTCCTTGCGGTAAATTTTGTGGTATTTCTATAATCATTTCTTTATCTGGTATACATGGTTTTGTATTTTGATATGATCCTTCAAGTGTTTTAAAATATTTTAAGGAATTACTAGATGATTCTGTCATATTCTTAAACTTAATGATCTAATCATTTCTTTAATATCTTCTAATTTTTCATCGTTGTTTTCATTAGATGTTGTAGGTTGACATTCCGAGATAGAAGATCTACCCATTATAGTTGAAAATGGA